ATTGCCCAAGAATTAAATTATTCTGAATTAATAACAACATTTGCAAGTGCAAAAGCAAGGAAGGTGGCAATGTAGGCTTTTTATTTTATTTTATGTCTTAATTTGTTTCAATTTTAAATTAATTTACAATGTAAATTTAATGTCTTTTGCGTGATGTGAGCATTATCTGTGCCATAGCAGCTTAATTAATTAAGTAAATATTGTTATGAATATTGCCTTGTGAAAGAAATATTTGTTTTTTTTTTTCACTGTTATTGTTCCTCATCCATACTAGTACTATGCTATTGATTTTACACAAGAGTGAGCTGGGTTGTGAGAATATAAAACATGATCCTGAAATGTGTGCTATATCTATATCTCCATAATCTAAAATTAAAAGATTCCATTGATGAAGGGGGGAAAATGTCAACAACTTTCGATACGTCTGAATTAACAAGGGTCAAGTTAACTCTCCATTTACCATCGTTATTGTTTCTCATCCATAATATTACTATACTAATCTTTCAGAGTTATTAATAATGTGAAAAATGTACGTTATCAGTTTAGTCTCTACAGGGGGGCGCTACAATGAGATCTCGCACCATCTAAAAACCTGGCTAGGACCACCACTGTTTATTAGTACAGTAGAGAGTCGCTTATACAAAAGCCGGTTATCCGAAACGTCAGTTAACTGAAAGCATTCCAGTCGGCAAATTTAAATTTTCGCTAGTGCTGTGGTGCTGCAATCTTTGGCTATATCTTAGGCTATTCCAATATTTTTTTTGTTGGTGTGTGTGTTTTAGTTGGCAGCACTGGCACTTTTATGCAGTGTTTTTTTGAGGACTGTGTGTCGTGCTGAATTGAACGTTTTTGATACTAGATTAACTTCTAAAGTATAATTTTTTTTGTTTTTATATTTTTCAATATATTTATTTTGTTTGCAAAAATAAAGAAATAATTTTTAACGATACAATAGCCACGATTATTATTTTAAAAAGTTTACATTAGGCTTAACATCGACAAAAATTCAACATGAAGCGACATGAAGCGACATGCAACGAAGAAAAATTTCAACACGGGATAGGTTAATATATTTTTTCGTACATAATCAGTTATCCGAACAACCTCAGTCCCCAATTGATTTGGATAAATGACACTCTACTGTACTGAGTTCTAAAAAACTACCAGGTCCAGGTACTCAGTACAATGTAAAAAGAAAAAAAATCCAAGCTGAGAATACAGCAGATTATATTAATCATTTTTTAAATTTTAGTTTCAATTTATATAATTAGTTTAATTCTATTGTAGACAGAAATGTAATACTTCTATCTACGACAGAATCAGAGTTAAACCTATAAACATCTGCTGTAAGACATTTAGTTGTCACAGATTCTTTCAGTTAAGTATCATTGTTTTCAGTATTTATCTAATATAATGATGCTACATTGGCTCACTTATTGATATAAAATATTTGAATATCAGTAGATGACATTCGGCCAATCTTTCTTCCCGAACAGCTGTTACAAGGATTAACCTTCCAGTTAGGTTAGGCTAGGTAACTTCTTACAGAAAAATAAAATAGTACATTCAAATTCAAAGAGGGATATTGAATATATATTTAAGTACTACATTTCACAATCACATGGCCATGTAATTAAGGTGTCAATTTATTGCTTTGGGGATCTGGAAACAAATCATAGATAGGTCAAAAAATCTCAGAAATTTTTTGAAGGTGATCTATTGTGGATATGTCAAGACCCATTTCTCACTAACTGAACAGCTAGAAAATGAAAGACTGGGGTTGGAAAGGTCCACAGTGGGCTTGATATATATATAAAGCATAAAGCCCTCTTAGTGTTCATAGGATAGAAAGAGGTTAAAAAGTATAACATCTAAATGGGCTGCAATTTGAAACAATTGTAGACCTATAAATTCCCACTATCATCTATCTGTCTGTTCATGCATCTGTCCATCTGTCTTTCCTTAATCTCAAGAATGGAGTTAGATAGATGAAATACAAGACAAGATATGGAAACCTTAGGGGCAAGAGGCCCCAACTATATACAAACATCAAATGCAAACAGGAAGTCACATTATTTCAATTCAAAAGTTTTTCCCTGAAAGATGACTGGCATGACTGTATTGTTAAAGGAAAAAATATGATGTACAGAGGCAAGCCACTACTAATTTGAGGTGGAGAACATATATTTTAAATAAAATATATTAAAAATATGATTAAAAATTTGCACCACATTACATTAAATAACAGTGTTTTCATTTTGTCTTGCCAATAATTATTCTTTATTCGATTTTTAAACTATTTATAGTTAATTAAGATTACCCATCGCGCACTGCTGCGATTTCAGAAGAAATGAAATTCAAGCAAACTCGTTATAATAAAATTCAATTTACAATTTATCATTTTTATTGAAACTTATTATTATTATGTTATTATTATTATTATTATTCATTTTCATCGGGAAAACATTTCAAAGTGTCGTTTCAATTCTATTTATTTATTGGAGTGCTTGTGGATACACAATATTTTTTGTTTTTCTGTCTGGTGCGTACATGAATAAATCAGAAGGTTTTCCGACATGTGAGTTGGCCACATACAGTTGTCCATGTGAGAAGCACGGTTTCTCCAAATCTAGCCCACACACTTGCAGTGATTGTTAGAAGTGCGATATTCCCCATTTTTATATATATTTTTTAATCCTTTACAATTTTAATTATTTAATTGCTCCTTCCTCTCTTCTTTGGCATGTTGTGAAATTTCTGATAGTTGGATAATAAACCATTTTATTGTAATTTGTCTTATTAAATTATTTTGAGTTGATATAAAAATTTGGAAAAGGGGGATCCCTAGATCAGTAAAATAGGTGAATTTCCTCCTACAACTTCGGTTATTGTTCGGATAAAGTTAAGGTTTTAACAAAGTTCAAGCGAATACATAATTAGCAAAAAATAGTTGAAGTAAAGCGATTAAACAAAAATTATTACAAATATCATAAATAACAGTTCACAAATGCATATATAGAGATATTTTTTGAAGAGGGAAAATGGTCTTCACAATTTGAAATCGATCAAACTCATGATGAAATGCTCGTATACACTCGCGCCATCTATCGTAGGATAAATGTACTATGCCAGAAACCTTTGCAGGAGTATATTAAACAACTTCCCAAAGTTTTATGGCAATTGGATAAACGGTGTGGTAATGCATGAAGGACATACAGACAGACATACATACATTTATTTTTATATATATAGATTATAGTTCTATACAGTTTTATATATATACTGTATATTATTTATTATCATATTGATATATAATATATATATATATTATCAGTTTTATATATATATAAAGCTGATGTGTTGTTTTGAAAAGTACTGTAAATTGTAACATAAATGTGAGTGCATTGTAAATCAACGGGACAACCAAATGGCATACTTTGACAACTGCCTATTTATCTTGGTTTATTATCTTTTTTAACAATTCTACCCCATGAGTGCTAAGTATCTAATACATCCCTATTATAAAGATATTTTAATCATACCTATCATGGGTTTAGCCAACGCTATTAGGCAGCCAAATGTTGAAGGATGGAGCTCAACATACCTAAAACAGATCATGTAAGAAAAATTCTTAAGATTCCCACCCAAATCCAAATCTCCCAGGTTAATGCTCCTACCACCTCAGCAACTGCATATTTATTTTGGAAGAAATAAATATTACCCAAAATTTATTGTGATTAAATGCAAAATCGAACTATATTTTCATACTATTCTCCCCCTTTCTTAATGTTATCAACTACTGTAGCCTATTTATTTTAATTAGATTATAAAAGAAATGTAACCTAACTCCAATATTTAAAAATAAAAAAGATGAAAAATGAAAAGAAACAAAAAAGAATTTGCAAAATAGGAAAAAGTAATAATGTTAAAATTCAAGATGTGTGATCTTATTTAGATTAAATTTTTTGGAAGTTTCAGAATTAGGTTAATACATCTTGTTTTAAAAATAGTTGCAACCCAAAGATTTTCCTAAATGTTCTAATACCTTTCATAAAAAATCCTTTTACTTGATGGATATCTATCCTGAATTGTCAGAACCATCAAGGTATTAATTGTCAGTTCCTCCAAGAAGAATATCTAATGTAAAGATATTTAGTAACGTAAGAAATATGTACAAATAAAAAATAAATTACTTCAAAAATGTAGAAAAACTATTGTTCCTTCATTGTAATCTTCAAATATCTTCATTTTAAATGTTAAACTTAAAATTCAGTTATTATATAAAATTACAATAAAACTTGCTTTAATGTTTTTCATCTCTGTTGATTTTATTATGGTTATAAAAAATTAAATATGGCCTTCCAAACAATTATTATATACGTAAAATTATGCATTTTATGTAAAACCTTTTCTCTACATTCAGTGTAAAGTTTTTTTTTGGAATAATGAATATATTTATTAATAATTAAAATATTATTTACTTGAATGCCTTTTTCAGATAAAAATATAATTTCTACTCTATAGTATTTTATTGATACCCTTTTATCTTTTAACAGATCTAATGTTAGGTATAATTCCACAATAATTGACAGGTACTGAAAACACAGCCATTTATGCTAGGTACAGACTAATTTCTGGCACTTAGTACATCACTATTACTTATACTTTTTATTTTCATATTGGAATTTGTTTATTCTAAAGCTGAAGAGAGTCACTCTATGAAGTACTTAATAAAATAAAAAAACTGACTTTTAGAAGAGTGCTACTTGATATCTTTGAAAAAACAGAAATCTAGAATACAATGTGAGGAAAGATATAAATCTACTAATTTATATCTCATGTGAAACTTTTTTATAGTATTCAATATAATTATCTATTTCAATTAATGTTAATAATATATTATTAAATGTATTAAATGAAACAATTTTTTAATAATTCATATCTTAAAAATATGTATATGGAGATGTAAATATATTTTATTTATTCCATTAATAACTTACTTTAACTATCCATTCACTGTTAGCATGTGCCATTATAAACCTTTCTTCCCAGAAAAATGCTGAATCAGATCTTTTAATCTAGTAAAAAGAAAGACAGAAAATTAATTATTATTTCAATTATGCAAAATTATGTAAATATTTACTTTAATAAACTTTCAAAATGTAACATTAAATATATAAAATATTGAAATAGAAATTCTACTAGTGATTATAATTATCATTTATTTATTTACAGTCAAATTTCAGTTTTCAAACATAATTCATTCTTAAAAGTTGTTCTAAAATCAAAAAAAATTTCCCATAAGAAACAATATAAAATGGATTAATCCATTCCCGACCCCCAAAATAAAGCCTTTTTTTTTTTACTTTTTCAGCCATATTTCATACTAAAACTGCCTACAAATGCAATGTAATATTGTATATAATAAAATACTGTATTATATATAATAAATTTTTGTTACTTAATTTGACTTAAGCACCTTTAAACAAATTCTTGGAAGCCATTTATATTACATAAACATTAATTAATACAGTATTTATTAATTTAATTTAAATTCAACTGCATCATGTACCGAAAAATGGTAGTAGTATCTTTAGCACATGCACATTGAAATTAATTTAAACAGCAACATCGTTGCCAATTTGTATCATGACATATAATGACATGGGCAATCTCAGTGCCACTAACTTCTGAATCAGTAATCCTGTCACTGATTGGTCAGGCCATCAACATTCTTTGACAATGGAAGCATAAGGAGTTGACTGTCTGTGTCCCTCTAACCTGGTCAACTCTTGCTGAGTAGCTTGTTTTACAAAAGAGTTATTGTACGGCAACCAAGATAAATATGAATTCAAAATTCTGTTTGTAAACTGATTTGTTTGAAAAATGAGTTGTTCGAAAACTGAGGTTTGAGTATATTTTATTTTATACACAATTAGGAATTGCCATGATATCCACCTCCATTTAACAAAAAACTCCAACAATAAAGTACAATTAAAACAAAAAAAAAAAAAAAACAAAGAATAAAAATACATGATAAGTAAATATATGATATATGTTAATGTATAAATGTATCACAATTTAAAAATTCATAATAGACTGATGAGAGTAAACTATCAAAATAATAAAATTTAAAAAATATTAAAATACTTCACTTATTATAAAGATTGAACATGTTTTACATATATAATTAAAATAAAACAGTTAAAAAAATAAGATTTTAAATACTAACTGACCTAAATACTGAAAAAATTCTAATTAATAACAGATATAAAATATTTTGACATTTGGTTTTATAACAAATAAAACTTTCATGCAGTAAATGTTCACTAGTTTCACATTCTCTATGATACAATAAAAAATTGATCTGTGTGATATTGTTAGATGTAGTTGGGGAGTGAATATACAAGAACTGCAGATATTATTATTAACCAATTTATTAAAAATTTTAAAAATCTAATAAACTAATTTTGACAATATGTTTTAACTTATTTCTCAACAAATAAAGACAATACTAGTTGAATATACATATACAAATCTATCATTTTCTTAACACATAATTCATGATCAATATATATTCTGGGGCATAGATCTAAATCAATATTTTAGCATATCCAGTTATCCATTAATTTGTAAGAACAATTAGTTGTATGGATTAAAATAAAAGCTAACATAAGAAATAGTAAAAAGAAAAAAGTACCAATACATCTAAAAATTATTTTATTAGATAAGCAAAATCTATAAAATTAAATTTCCAGAAGCTAAAATTGTGGTTTACAACATATATTAAATTTGTCTTGAAAAAAATGTAATAAAGATATATACTTTATTAAATTTCATCTTTAATTTTCAATTGTTTGTTATGTGAAACTCACTGCTGAAATTTTAAAAATACTTTTGAAAGATTTTTTTTAATGTAGCTGTGCACTTCATATATTAAAGAAAGCTGATAGTTTTGTTTCAAAATTCAATATATAATTTTCATTACTTTAGGGTAAAGAATAAAATGAGAAGTAAAATGGAATATTGTAATACCTTGATTACATAGTAATTTTTTCTATAATATAAATATCTATTTCTTTCTGATCCATTAAAAGTCACATTAGCAAGAGTTTACAACAACATATCTACCAAATGAAAAAAGCTGGTAACATTATTACTAGACTTTCGCAGCATTTTTCACTTGTTTTCATCCCTAGTAATTGCTATCATTAACTTTAAGTCTTCAGATTGGTTTGAGAGATATTAAGGGTCTCCTATATTTCCCAAACTGATGGTCTGATTTTCCTGAAAATTTCTATAAACATTTCCTCAAATATACAAACCTCTCTGCAAAACTTCACAAATTTACGACAAAAAGAAGGAGTTATTATGCTTCAAAGTGAGTGAAAAAAATCATGCCCTCCACACACACACTGGTACATACAAAAAAAAATCCACAATTTTTTTGCATTTCTCAACATTTCAAGGTCTCGAGTCCAAAAATGTAAAAATTTTGGGAGTCATTTTTTTGTCCAATCATCATACTTTCATTCAGTTATATAACAGCCAGAAAAGGAAAAAATATTACAATTATCCATGAAAAGTTGCATGAACATATTTCATCTGAAAATATTTTCTATTTTATGAATAGTTTAAATAAGATTTTTATTAAATTGTTAAAATATAATAAAAACAATTTCAAACAATATAATTTAATAAATAATTAACTATTCATACCATCTCAAATTTACTTAATAATTTCATAGCATAAACTTTCTGTGTTGATTTATGCCTCACCTAAAATAAAAAGATTATTAAATTACTATTAGCAGTCATTTATAAATCAAATTACTTTATATATAACTACACACACATATATTGGATTAATTTTTTTTAATCAAGACAACTTATCAAATATAAATATAAAATCTGTAAAAACAAAGCTAATAAACTTGCAACTATCATTATAAATATTATGCAAAGGGTTAAAAATTCATTATGATTTTCTAAGGAATAATAAAATTTTTAAATGTATTTTATAGGTATTGCTCGATTAGGTTTTGTAAAATAACCTTAATCATAAATGGATTTCTTTTTCTAATCCTAATTATATTAAAGAGGAAAGAAATAAGTAAGTCTTTTAATTCCAAATTCTTTTTATTGAAATTTTCAATTGTCTTGTTTGCCAGGTAAGAGAGCAATGATTAAAAATAGAATGTTGAAAAACAAGAGTAAATAAAATAAAACTTTATATACTATACAAAATAAAAAATGGGACAAAAAAGCTGTACAATTCTACAAATTCAGAAAATTACTTCAAGAAAACTGCAACATAATGCAATGGTGAAAGTAATTCATTTGAAATGTGATCAAATTAACACATCTTATGAATTTCTGTAATAATTCTTAATTATTCATTATTTATAATGACAGTTAAATAATTAAAAAACTTATTTTACATTGGATAGAATAATGCACAACTACATTAATCTATTAANGTCAATCTTATTAAATTTTTTTGTTGTTAAATATTAAAATGATAAATTAAATTTTTCAGGATTTGAAGTATACTTAGTTAACAATATATTAATATTTAACTGTAATTTCTTATCTTCAGTTTTTATGACAGTCTATTCCTAGCAATCCATAGTGCCTTAGAGACATAAGATAAAGAGAAATTAAAGGATCAGAATTATTATTACATGACATCTGTTGATCTCACAAAATTGAATACTTTGGCAAGTCTTTGGAACCAAGGGTGCTGAGAAATCAGTGCTGTATCTGAATTAAACTTTTTGAAAATAATTATACTTACATCTTAAAAGAAAATTTTCAACATTTTTCATTCTGCGAAGAGCAGGATGGTCACAGTCCATCATCAGAGCTTGAACTGCATCCTAGTGTGGAAAATTTTCCATAAATATATTTTTTTTAAATTACAAAAATATATGAATAGTTATTATATTAACATTTGAAATGGAAAAATATATCCTATGGTAGATATTTATGTTAAGACATAGTATTATGATGTTTATGAAATTTATTCATTAAATCTATAATAACTTCTAATCTCAAATTTATAAATTGTATATTTTCAAAAAGTTTAAGTATGATAACTGTTTTATGAACATATATAGCTGATGATAAAAATATTGAGTGATCATAATTAAAGTATCCTATTTAATGCTGTCTTGAGAGATTTAACAGTCCAAATGCAACCAAACCTTGAAATGTTAAAAGATATTTCCTTAAAAAAAATTGGTACCAAAACTCATCATTATGGCACTTTTAATGCTGCAAGCAATAAAAAAAGCATTTTCCTTGGCCTAAGTACATATGTTGCAATAAAGTTCTCAGTATAAAAGTAGCCACAACTGCTGTCATTCTTATTAATTATGATGGCTATCAACTTGCTAGAATATGCATTTCTTATGAAACTGTTTTATGAAAACAACAACAATACTGCACTTCAGTAATTTCACTGTCCTAAGAATTTACACCAAGAAATAGATTCCAAAAACTCTAAGGAGAATGATCAAACAATTTGAAGAAATTTGACATTTGGTAGCTCAAGCTGGTCAAGGGCACAAACTTATCACTCATAAGTTGTTGAAAGATCTTATCACAGCTGTTGTTGAACAGTCATGTTGCAGATTTAATAGTGCATACACAGTGTCATGGCAACTGGATATATCCTGTGATAGTGTAGAAGGTACTGAGAAAATTTATGCATTGTTATCCATATAAGATCAACCAAAATCAGCAATTGCTTGTTGCCAATAGGAAAAACTGACTGATCTTCATACTGACCTTCTTTGTCAAAATAAAAGCAAACTTGTCATGGCCATAAAAAATCAGTAAAACAGTAAAGAGTAATTGTTGCATTTGGTCCATGGAAAAGCAGATTCCAGTGCACTCATCTAAAGTTACAGTCTGGTGTGGAATCACAGCCAGATCCTTGTACTATTCTTCTTCAAAGCAGCTAGTCCCAAATGTGCAGTGATAGCAAGAGATGCTCAACACTTATCATACTCCAACTGCTACAGCAACCATACATTAAGTCAACCTCTCTCAGGCAAGATGGAGCACATGCACATATCAAATGTTGTGTATAGCAGTTCTTGCAATAACCCATTTCATTGATAAGTGATTAGTCATGCACTTCTTACCATCTGGCCACCTTCTCTGGATCTTAATCCAAGATTTTTTTTGTTTGTGAAGACACTTAAAAAGCATGGTTTATCAAAAATTTATATTGCAAATTTGATAGTCTTGAAAGATAGCATCACACTGTATGTGAGAAGCATCAGAGAGGATTAATTACAATTGACTTTGAAATGCTATTCGTCATCAAGTTTTTCAAAATGGTAACTATATTGAACAGTATCTCTTCTAATCTGTGTATAGCATGAGTGTATTGTATAAATAAAATGTTTGTTACTTGCAGTGCCAAAATAGTGATTTTTGGTATAATGCTCTTTTTTATGACGTGTCTTCAGCTTCTGAAATGTCACCATACTAGATTTAGTTGTATTTGGACAGCTAAATATCATTCTCGACAGCATTGAATAGCGAGTACTTTACTTAAGATCACCTGGTATATTCATACAAGAGAATTAACAATGGTTTACTAAAAAATATGATTTTTTCAATATAATTATTTATTGTCATCAGATTTAAAAAGAAAAAAATTTTATTTAAAAATAAATACACTTCAAAAGATCCAATAATTTTAAAGAAAAAAACAGTTTAAGATGAAAATTTTACAAATTATAAGTAATTTAACATCTACTGTCATAAAATATTACCAATTTTCTGGCTATTGATATTCCAATGCTTTTTTTTAAATCCTTTTTTTTTAATTAATTAATGAGATTTTACATGAAATTCCTGCACTATCATTGGCCAATCACAAGTAGCATTGCTTGTAGAATAGGCTATTTACATTTCAAGAGGCAAGTCAATCTTATTAAATTTTTTTGTTGTTAAATATTAAAATGATAAATTAAATTTTTCAGGATTTGAAGTATACTTAGTTAACAATATATTAATATTTAACTGTAATTTCTTATCTTCAGTTTTTATGACAGTCTATTCCTAGCAATCCATAGTGCCTTAGAGACATAAGATAAAGAGAAATTAAAGGATCAGAATTATTATTACATGACATCTGTTGATCTCACAAAATTGAATACTTTGGCAAGTCTTTGGAACCAAGGGTGCTGAGAAATCAGTGCTGTATCTGAATTAAACTTTTTGAAAATAATTATACTTACATCTTAAAAGAAAATTTTCAACATTTTTCATTCTGCGAAGAGCAGGATGGTCACAGTCCATCATCAGAGCTTGAACTGCATCCTAGTGTGGAAAATTTTCCATAAATATATTTTTTTTAAATTACAAAAATATATGAATAGTTATTATATTAACATTTGAAATGGAAAAATATATCCTATGGTAGATATATTAACAGTTTTCAGGAAATTTGTCCAATGAAAAACAATTATAGAAATTTGTCATTAAATTACTTTCAAACTTGTTAGTAATAAGTAATATAAAATGTTTTATACTTATATATTATAACAATTTAAGAAACAAACACACACACATACATTAAAGAAAAATTAATATTAGTTAACGTCTCAACAAACTCAAGAACTCAAAGACAATGCATTAATGGAGATAAATAATAAACAAATACGTAACCAACACCTTAATAATCGCTGAGAGATTTTTATTAAAACAAACGTTTTCAATCCCCTCAATAGATCATCATCAGGCTAAATGGAATACTTCATAAATGGAACAACAAATTCAATTATAATATATAATATTATAATTGAACTTGATATATAATAAAATTCATATAAAAGCATCAAAAATGTTGATAATGCTTGTTAATGGTGTTCCAAACTAACTGTTGCCACAAATGCAAGTGCAGGGTCAACATCTTAACCATTATTATAATTATATACCATATTAACCATAAAACTATTATTATAATTATATGAGAATTGTAACTTCAGAAATATACATGCAAGTTAAGATATTAACTAATGCCATCATAAAAAAAACTATATAGAGTACAATTTTAATAAACATTTTTAAGAATGTGCTAGCAAGCCATTTCTATTATTTTATTTATTTATTTGACGTTTTAGACCCATTACTGCCCTGAGAGCACAAAAAAGGCCAGAACCAGAGAATATTGTGTTGGTTAGTAAAAAGCATCCCTAAAAGGGCTCTTAAGAAAATAACCCAGTCCCTTGTGAGGGTTCATATATTTACATATATATTTTATGTCTTAGATTTTATTCTGCATGTTATGTATTTGTTTATGCTATAATTACTTACATAAGCAGGGCAGAAAAGGCAAGGGGGGTGCTGGTGACAATTACCAATGAATAAAGTAAAATTATAAGAAAGTACAGTTCTAAGTAAAAAAGTACATCTACCACACAATCTCCAACAGATGTGTAGTCTTGTATGGCAGGTGACAAGCTGTTAAATCTCTGATTATACTTGTAGTACCTAGCTGAGAGCTGTGAGAAGGAGTTCGCAGCTCTTGGCTAGGTACTACAAGTATAATCAGAGATTTAACAGCTCGTCACCTCCATACAATACCACATCTGTTGGAGATTGTGTGATAGATGTACTTTTTTCACTTGACATGGACCATGGACTTTAGACACTACACTGTAAACTCCTTTCAGATTCAGAGGGCTTTGGCTGTGAAAATTCTTTCCAACATTTAAAGTTCCAGTAGTTAAGAAGTGTCCCAAGAAGCAATCATGTTCTTGTTTAGAACATTATAGGTCAAAGAAATGTTATGTTTTTTGTATCATATATACAGAACATGATAACACTTCTTGTTTCTTCTTAGCTACCATGTTATTTAATTCAAATTCATATGTTATAGACAGTTACATCAATGCATTTCCAACTATTTCGTTTTTGTTATTTCTAAAAGAAATCTGTAAAAACCACTTCTCATAAAGTATGCTATACATTGTTTATCATTTTCAAGGAGGCTAAAAATTATTGTTTCTTTTCCAAATTATGATGTTATCAATGCTTCTAAGCAAGGCAAGTCGGTAGATAAATTATAAAAACGAATTAGAAACTTCTTGTATTATAAAATATTGTGTTTCTGAATGATAACTTAAAAGACCCCCCTCTGACTAAAAACCAGAATTTAGCCAAAAATTCTGGTTTTATCCAAAAATTCTGACAAAAATATGAAACCCTGAAACTTTATAAAGTTTGTAGTTCCAATTATAAAAGATATTCTTTATAATATTAGACTCCATGTAAATCTGAACAGCACTAACACTAAAAACAAATTTTTAAGGATTCCAACAGATGATTTTATCTGTTGGAATCCTTAAAAATTTACTTTTAGCATTAGTGTTCTTCATAGGTCTGAGATATCATGTGATAGTCATTACCCAATTTCTGAAAATATAACTAAAATACAACACAATGCCTATATATGTTATAAATTATCACATTAGAACATAAAATGCTTATGTTGATATCTAATCACCAAATAATTAACATAGTTGTTAACAAATACTTGCTTTTTATGCAGTAACATGTATTGTACTGTACAATCTGCATGCTTTACCACAAACATTACATTTATACTATGCTGTGGCAAATAATACACAGCAATAGGGAGATTTGTTTTAAAAATGCAAACAATAATTTGAAATAAAAAACAAGGAATAAATTTCAATATGTTCTTAACAATGTCTTTAAAACTTCTATAAATTAGAGAATTGACTGACTACTGTTACTGATGTCATGAATACATGTTTAGGCTTTATACTATATAAAGGAGGTTTTGGTATAACATGATATCTCTTCCAGCAGAGCTATATTTGGTACACATATTCTATTTCTTGGCACTCAGACTTTCCAAAACATCTGCACAAGATCCCAATGTTCTAAAATATTGTATTTGAAATGAAACTTGAAACTTTCCCTCATATTGTTTTGTTAAAAACATTACATTAAGAGATATACAGTTTCAATTCTGATCTTTGTTGCAAAGATTTTCTTAATTATAATTAAAACTACACTCTCAATTATACTTGAGTTTATTTATGAAAAATCTTTCAACAAAGTGGGAATCCTTTATTTAAAAAAATTTTAACTAGGAAAACTTGTTTCTTTTTTAAATAGAGAATTCCAGCTTTGTTAAAAGATTTTTAATAAACTTGAGTAAAATTAAGAGTATAATTTTAATTATAGATACCAGTTTATTTACTTATAGAATAAATAATAAATAGTTATATTTACTTATTTTTTATAGAATCTACAACAGGCATGGCCAAGATGTGGCCCGTGTAATGGATTTGTGTGGCCTGCAATTAATCTTTCAATATTAGCTACTCAAGTCAGAATAGATTGCCTAAAAATTCTAATGCCTTAAAAAAAAAAAAAAAAGGCAACAACTCACTGTCCGCTTAGAGTTAACCCTCCATTACAAATCTCTTAAGTACAGCATAGAATGTTGATAAAGCATGATAATGTGAAAAATGTATCTATAATCTCTATGTACACTTTAGTCTCTACGGGGTGACAACACAATGAGATGAGATCTCGCACCACCTCAAAATCTTCCAAGGGCAGCCTCTGGTTCGGCCCGTGAAAAAAGTTTTCTTTCCAATTCGGCCTGGGGGCAAAAACTGTTGGCCACCCCTGATCCAGGATACTAAAAACCAAAAGATTGAAAAAATTACATCGAGGAGTCGTGTATGATTATTAGAACTTAACATTTCTTTGATATTCTATTATTATTATGTTTGGTTTAGTGAGTTATACTTGGTTGACACCAGTGGCTGTGTATTATGCTGGACCAGTATCAAAGCATAGTAACCAAAACAAGACAAAAATTAAATAAGTGTGTCAGTGTGTGTGTGTGTGTGTGTTTATATTCAGGAATTTCCTAACAATATGACATGTATTCAATATAGTGGCCTTCTGTAGTGTGATGCATGTGTTTCTATTCAATTGTAATGTTCTCAGGCTTTTGTAAAGTGTGTGTAGTATGACACCTGTAGAGGAAAGAATGACAGGTATAATAAGCATCCTATCCATCCTCCACAGATGCCTTATTTCCTAGGATTATTATTGTTATTAAATAATTTTATAATTTTATTTTTGTATAAATATTTTTTAATAATAAATATAGAAAATTAACAACAAAAACACAAATTAATATAAAAAAAAATTAATTTGCAGTTTTCTACTTTAATTTCATAACTGTAAACAATACAATTTACTTACCAACAGTCCATCGACACTGATTTCTGACCTCAAATCTGTAAGTTTCTCCTCCAGTTGGTGAAGACGTTTTATTCGATCCAAATCTTCTATTTTCTCCATGCTATAAAATAACTTAACCAATTATCTATCTCAAAATTACTTACAAGAAAATTTTTAAATATAAAATGTAAAATTTATTAAAGTTCTTAAATGAATAAATAAAATTTTAAAATATTTGGTAGATCTTAAACACGCATTAGTAAGCAAAACATTAATTTTATTTTGAAGATTAAAAATAATGTTTTGATCATTAAAACATGATTTTGATTTTTATAAAAAAAAAAAGACAACTTTTAAAAATTAATTTTTTTCAAATATATTTAAATTTAGAAAATGTAAATAATGTGATTCTATGAGTTAAGAAGTTATAAATTAAAATAAATCTGCTCCATTAGATTTATAAATTACAAATTATACAACATGTACATAAAGTAAAATTTATTAAAATAGTAAATTTAAATCATCTGTTATATTTTAATTATTTTTAATATATTACTGTGTATATGAAATAACTTTTTATAACAGCCTTAACCAATAAATAACTACGATATTAATAGAAGCAAGAGCAAGAAGTATTTGTTTCATCAACAAATTGTAAAAAAATAGTGCACAAATAAATAGCATTTAATATCTGTATTTATTAAAAGATATTGAAAAATATGCTAACATTTATCTAACATGAATAATTATATATTTGGTATGTATATTAATAAAATGCATTTTATGATATAAATATGTTATATTTATTTGGAGATATTGAAAAATATCTAATAGAAGTAAAAAGAAAACAAAATTTCTGTACATAAATATTAAATAGATGTATCGTGTTATCTTTGAAAAAATATAAACACCAAACTTTAATGACTTGTTGAATCTTACTAACCAAGTAATTGGCTATTAAATTATTTATTAGAATAATTTTAATAAATTTAGAGCAATTTAGTAAACAATTTTTCTAAATTTAAGTGTGTTAACACTTATCATATTAATCTTATCATTAATATTGAGAATTGGAACCTTTTAACTTTTACACAATTATCCTTTATAACTTTTTATTTCAGAAGAGTTTATTTTAAATTATCTAATCATTAGAATTATTAACAAATAGCAAAACTCCTACCTGAAGTGTGAAATATTTTTAATATTTATTAAATAACCAATCACAATAATTTAGCAAAAAACTTTCTTATCACTTCTGTAAGCATGTATAATTCAATTAATAAACAGAAAATTAAGCCTTTCTTTTCTATTAAGGATTAAACACTTACTTCTCAATATACAGATATAAAAAGTAAATTTTAAATGTGTTTTACACTAGACTTAATAATTGCTGTGCAGACTCATCAATAACAACTAATTATGTATCAAAGTATCAAATCATCTTACAATGCAATTAATTCATGTTTATATATTGATTAAATCAAATACAGTAGATTCTTGATAACTAAAGTGGAAGGGACAGAAAAAAATTTGAGTTAATGAAATTTCAAATTATGAAAACTACCATTATTTTAATAATATCTTAAATATCACAACACAAACAATATTAATTAGACTTAAATCTAATGGGGTAAGGCAAAAAATCTGGACTGTTTTTAAGCATAATATTTTATTTAAAATTGAACTAACTATTAAATATTATATATCATTTTATAAGAAATTTTATTTACAATAGTAAAGAATTAATGAACATGATCAAATGGCCCATGGTTGGTGATACACTGTAAGTTTGTTTCGATAGACTCGCAACTCCTTTCAATGGCCTCCGTGTCAATTTTGTTTTAAGTGAATGTCTGATCTTCTGACTGGTTGTCATATTCTTTGCTAACTAACCTTTCTTGTATACTATTTGTGCCAAATATCCAAAGAAATCACTGATTGGTCAGCATTGTGGTAGATTTGATAAATTATGTTTTTTGTGTACAAAAAGAATGTTTTTGGCTTTGAGAACTCCACGGCCAAATTTGCATAGTGAGATGAAGTTTTGTCAGACTAAACGATGAAACATTCATTTTGATAATGCTTGTTAAGAAAAGAGATTAGAATTTTCTTTAGGAATTTGTTTTGCAGCATGTCAACATCAATTGCAATGAATCCCTTCTTAAAAAATAGTTTCAAAACACCTGCTGGTGAAAGGGAATGTATAGCATGACTTTTGCTTTAAATTTTTTCTTAAATTTGTACTTCACTTTGGGAGATGCATGATTTTCATTGTTTGCATAGTAAATTTCATTTCCTGGCATTTGCATGCCAGAGAGAGAACTACTTATCATCCAAAATGAATATTTTGTACCAAAATTTGTTACGAGCTATCTACATTGCATTTGGATTTTGGTAATTTTTCAGCAGCATATTCTGGAGCCACCTCCTCTTCCTTTTCTTTATGCCCATCTTCTTTACATATATTCAATAATAATTGATCCTTTAAGCTGTCTCTATCTGACTAACTCCATATTTGTTGTCAAACATTTTGTGCTGTCTGTCTAACTGTTAAGTAGTATTAACATTTGTGATCGTGTTCAGTTTTATTAGTATTAAGTAGATATAAGTCTTCCTACTAACAGCCACTTAACACTAACTTCCACGCTTAGCTATTTATGGTGGCACTCAATTATTGGTGTTTGCTATATTCGGGTTTTCATTTAGACCCCTCGGGGGACTATGGTCTTACAGCCTAAAAACTGCACGTCAACTTTAAATTTAGAGAGTACTGTAGCCATATGACCTTTCTCTACTGTCTATCTCCTCTCCCTACTTCCTCCCCTTTCCCTTACCCTCTTTTTCCACTGGCTAAACACCTCATATAAGACCAATGTCTTTCTTATATGTATACATGCATGCACGCATGTATGTCAAACATTTGTTGCAATGCTCTTTGTTTTTTAGCATTTGTAACAACCAGCATTCTTTACAACATTTTAGATATTTCATACTTCTTTGAAATATACACAGTTGATTTGCTATGGCCTTCAGATGAAAAATTGCTGGACCACCAGCAATTTTTTTGAGTGGTTTGCTTTATTTTTGTACATTTGTACAATGTTAATGTTCTCTTTTGAAGCCATTTTTTTGATCTGACTCATGAATGTTTGAAAATGTCATGTGCTGTATTCAAGCATGTGTAATGAAATAATTTTTGGCAATAAGGTTTTAAAATTATCTTTTTGAGTTCAAAAGTTATGAGACAAAAAATCTGGACTGCTTTAAACAGTCCAAATTTTTTGTCTCACCTTGTTATGTATCTAAAAAATAATAAAGCATATTATATGTATAAAATAAAAAATTGACACTATTGGCAAAAAAATCTGTTACAATACAATAAAAACTAATACAACAACCACAAAATATTGGATAATCATAAATAAAACACAAATTAAACCAAATTCCAGTAAGAAAGGTATAGGATTTACCAATTAACAAGTTTTTCAACAACTTTTAGTTATCATCATCAGGTTAAACACCAGTATTTTAATTTTCTACATCACTATATCAATGACCAATCAAATAGGCCGTCACCATCCTTTAAAGATCAACATTCAATGTTATGTTCTATTTTCAAATGTGGTGCTCAACCTGACAATAATAGCTGAAAGCTGTTGAAAATATTTATCAGTAAATCTTACACATTTCTTACTGGAATTTGGTTTAATTCTGTTATACAAGTTGTTGATAATTCATTTCTCCTTGCTCAACAATGTTCTCAATGTTGTAGAGTGTATCAAAAGCACCTCGTTTAAAAATATATGTTTTTTGAAAATCCCTTAAAAGATCAAAAGCTTTCCCATGTAGGGTAAACAAGATATTTGTCCTGAAAGAAAAAATTTCTTTCTTCCTTATCTTTGTCACTTGTTTCTTTACTCTGGTAATAATATTGTCTTCAGACAGGTTATTGTTAACATTGAAAAAGAAACTTTCAAATGACAATTATTTTTCACTTGTTGCTGTAATGATATTGACTTGGTCTTCTTTTAGTCAATGGCTTCTGATGAAAATTCCAATTTGTAGAAACTATTAATAAATTGTTAATCAAAACTTGTTTTTGTAAAGAAATTTGCAATGGTGTTTTGTAAAACTGTTATAAGCTTTGTTAATTATTCACATTGCGTCTAAAAGGTTTACTCCAAACTCATGTGGTCTATTTTAATAACAAAATACATGTATTGTAAAATTTGTATCTTATCATGAATTAATGTTTTGAATGAATTCCTTGATCTAAAAATTGCAAAGCAGAATTTTCAATGAAACTGAATTTCCAAAGTCAAATGTCAGAATGTATAAATTCATGTGATGAGATATTCGAAATTTTAAATTTGAACTTTGGAAATTCGGTTTCATTAAAAATCCTCAGGCAGGCCTTGGTGAAGGCCGAAAATGTTCGAGTTTTCATTGAAGTGCTGTTACTAGATAAAAGGTTTCATTTGTATTTATTAATTACCCCAGCAATTTGTGAAGAACATAGTTACAATGCAAAGCAGAAGTTTTATCTTGCTGGTGATTCAGCTGATGATAAAAATTAAGCTTTTATAACTTTCAGAATGGGAATAGCATCAAATGTGCACTGCAATTCTTGATAAAAAGACTAATTTTCCTGTTTTCAGCAATCATGCAGGTGTCTAACTTTTCTAGCTTTGATGTCATTCACACTTTGTTATTTGCTGCATGCTGTATAGGCAATGTCTTGGCATTGAAGAAATATTGAGGCTTTAAAGATTTCCAATTAATAATGGTGGTTCTTCAATATCCAACATCTTTACTTCTAAAAGAAAGATCATTCTTTACTTTTTTTATCTCTATAACATTAATCATCTTTGAACACCATTGTTTTGTCTGGCAGATATTTAAAAGATAAGATCACTGTATTAATGTTGAAATCATCATCTTGGCAATTTCTAATAATAATCTTTTCAACCACTTCACACAATCCTCCTCTTATAATTTGTGATGAAAATAAAATTTGTGATGAAAATGATTTTCATCACAAATTTTCATCACAAATTTTATTGAAACTATTCCATGTCTCTTCTTAAATTTATACATCCACCTGTTGCTTATTTTGAATGT